TCAGTGTCGGCACCCTGGGTCCGCGCAAAAAACAGTGCACTGCGCAGCGTACCGCGCAGCGCACAGTGTTTGGGCCATGCTATCGTTCCATGCACTTCTCAGTCAGTGCCGGGGCCATGCTATCGTTCCATGCACTTCTCAGCCACGGTGTGCCGGTGCGCACGCACCCTGGGTCCGCGCACAGCGCACTGCGCAGCGCACAGTGCCGGCGCACAGTGCCGGGGCCATGCTATCGTTCCATGCATTTCTCGATTTATGCATGTTATCCTTGCACAGGGGCCATGCTATCGTTCCAATTTTATCGGATCTGTTGAAGGACATATCAGTCAGTGTATTAGGTCCTAGGTCCTGTTTTTTCAGCATAGGCAGTGTAACTCGGAGCTGTTAGGATCTGAGTTCTTCCGTCTTTTGCACAGCCATAAGCCAATAGCCATTGGGGAGTCTGGGTAACTTAGCATATTTTGAATTATTTTCCCAATTGATGGAGATGATTTAGCGAGGGATAGAGTTCAGGATTGTTTCCCATCTGGCTCTGATGGGTCAACCGTCTTTAAACTTGGACGATAACTGAATTTAGCTGAGTATTCGTACTTTTTTTTTTTTTTTTTTAAACAAACAGAACCATGCGGTTCTGGCTCCTTTCCATTCTGGGGAGCGTCAGCCCGGTTCCTATTCCACCGGCAAGTCAGAAAGAATGCAATGGATACTCACAAATGCTCCTCCCCATTACGGCTCAGAGGCCCAAGTGGACGATATTGATTACTTCACACAGGACACCCCTCACCCGTGCCTAAGTTAGCCCGCATGGCTTAATTCTGAGCTAGCTTCTATCCTTGGTTACAAGTCTTGCTTCCACTATCTTTGTTTGCTGTTTGCAGTTTACCTGTGGAGGCCTTGTCTAGCTCGTTCCTCTCAGCTACCAGGCTGTCGGATTCGCAATAAGTGTTGGAACTGCTATCTTGGATATTTCCTGGTTCTCTTTTGTCGAAGTCCTAAGCTCTGGTGTTCCTAGTTGGACTTTAAGTCTTAAGCTGTCCTTGTTTTTTTCCTACTACTACTAACATTTTTCTATTCTTATTTAGCCCTTTCAAGTATTACCTGTTGTAAACATTTCTGCGTTCTGGCCCTTGGCTAGCTTCTCAAGATTAATTGTGATATCTCTTGTCTCCCTATTCTGATCCTTGAGCACTGATATCCAAGTGGATCTCCTCCTGGCTGCTTGTTGTTGGGTTTTCTTGCCCTTTCCCCTTTCCCCTTTCCGCTCTTGACACTTTCGCTTGTCTTTTGGTTGTCTGAGTGGGTGTATGATTTAGGCCAAGCAAACCTGTTCAGCGTAGTGTGCCCCTGATTGGCTGCTTCGTCAAGTTGCAGCCGTAGCGCTCTCCGAAAAATTCTGACAATTCCTGTTCGTTCTCGAAAACCTCGAATTGGTTGTGAGTGGGGAACAGGCTGGTCAGTGATCGCTGAGTTGGGTTGAAAATTTGCAGGTTACAGATGTGCTTTAGGTGAGCCACTCTGATTTCGAACTCGACTTCTCTTTCCCTTTCCAAGTTTCCATGCTTGGACATAATTACTCAGCCAAAGGAGTGAGTCTTCGTGCTCTTCCTCATCTGTTTTCTCTGTCATTTCATGTTCTTTCTGCTGCTGTGGTCTTTTCCCTGCAGATCCTTATGACATGTTGTCATCTGCCCCATCTTCATCTTCCTCCTCCTCCTCTCCTTCGTCGTGACCCACCGGCGTGTTTGATTCATCGTCTTCCTCCATTCTATTCTGCCCCTCCCTGTTGGGATCTTTATCAGCGTCAATCTGCTTTTTCCCTTTGCCCTCTGAATTTTCTCCTTCCGACAGGTCATCCGGATTCATTTCTCCCTCCATTGCTTCAGCTGTTGAGTGAGACTCTTTCATCCTGCTAATTTTGCTCGTTGTTGTGCTGTGTGTGGAGGGGCCAGGGGAGATCTGGCCGGCTTTCCGCTTGAGGAGTTTGGGAGAGTCCTCTGCTGTGCTGCCTCGTTGAGGCTGATGGGGTTCGCTGCTATCTTGTAGGTTCAGTTATTTACCTGATCGAAGGAGTTTCCCCCTTGCCTGCAGTTTTTTTCAATGTAGGCTTTTTCTGTTGAGGTGCCCGTTTTGAAGAGTTCCTGCAGCGTGCCCTTCCTGTGTTTGTGTTCCATGATTTCCTGTGTGTCGAGGATTTGTTTTTTTTTCAAGATTCCTCCTTCTTTGTCTTCAATTCGTTTGGATCCCTTTGTTTGCCATTGGCTGCCATAAGTGGGAGTAGATATCAGGTTGGACTGTTGGTTCTCCCTGCAGTACGCACACCCACTTGGGTGCGCCCAGCGTGTCATCAAACACCCAACCCCTGTAGGCAAGGTCGTTGACAAATCACAGACCTGCCTTTGTTTCACATTCCACCAGGTTGGCTTGGATCTGACCTGGTTTCCCTGCTCTATCCCTGTTGAGAGGGCGGTTTCTGTCCGTGCCCAGGTGACGTTTCTGAAACGGTATTCGCCAGTTTGCAGTAGCGAATGCAGATCCCAGGGCTCGATCCCTAGTTCCCCATCTTACCTGTGTACAGTATTGATGTCAACCCGTAGATTTGAACCTGCGACCTGTCGAAACGCCAGTGGTAGGTGGATTGTCGTAGGTCACAGCTTAGARGGGAATCGAACTGTRGACTTGWAGGGTAGRAGTCTAGACAGTTCCGAAGTCGTAGTTGTAGGTTGTCTGAAAGGTCAAGGTCGTAGCTGCTACTTACCTGAAGGGGCAAAGTCGTAGCTGCTACAGCACCGAAAGGCCGAGTCAGAGGTTTCTAGAAGCGGTCTTTCGGAGTGAGCCTACGTTGAACAGAGGCAAGTGGTCAAGTGGGGGTAGGCCACCCTGCTGAGTCATCAGTCCCAGTTAGGCAGTCCGGTCCTGTCCAGCAAGTACCGTCTGGGACTGTGTGCACCAAGGGCCAAGGGACACTGGGCAGACCAACGCAGCGCAGAAGTAAAAATCAAGAGGCTGTGTCCAGCCATTCGTGCATTCCTGCGGATGCCATGCGGAAGCGCTGCCTCAGCAGCTTGTGCGAGGAGGTCTGCAGTGTGCCCGAAGACGAAGTGGGCAGAGAAGTGTAGTGTAGCGATAGGGTAGTGGCAGCTAGCGCTGCCATAGCTATAGTAGTGTGTGTGTGTATGTGTTGCGTGTGGTTACAGAGTGTTGCGTGTGGGACATCCAGGGTGATCCAAAGTGTGAACAGTGAGTTGTCTGGGCGCTTAGTCGCCATAGCCAGTGGAAGCGAACTTACCTGGAAGACATATCTTTGTGTACTGTGTGGGCGCATGTCGCCAGTTGTGTGTTGCTGTTCACGTGCATGAAAAGAGTGAATAAGACTAGTCTGATTGCACTGGTATCGGAGCTGGTACCCGCTGTTCCACGCGCGCGATGTGTGCAGGGCCGATGTGCCGCAGCTGAAGTGACCGCCGGAGGAGGCAGTCCGCCATAGCGGACCTCGAGGTGGAAGAAGACGCCGCGCACCTGCAACAAGAAGACCACGACGAAGAGAGAGAGAGAGAGAGAGAGAGAGAGAGAGAGAGAGAGAGAGAGAGAGA